CTCTTCCCTCAATGGTGACCCAAAAATTCGACAACCCCACACAAAAACTCGAACAACTCCCTTTCTAGCCGCCAAGACGAACAAACAGAAGATTAGGGTTAGGTTGCTAAGGGTTTGGTTAGAGGGGATGTATGAACTAAATATGAGCAATCGGCCCTAACAGAAGAGCCCAAGGGGACCCCGACGTCAAAATGAGGCTTTCATCCCAAGGGTACCTGACGTCAAAATGTGGCCGCCAATTAGGGTTTTTTTTAATGTGGAGGATGTAGTTGGATGTTTTCTTGTAGAGAAAGTTTGAGTTGTTATGGATGAATGAAGAAGGGTTGGATGCGCTGGAGGTGGGTGAAGACGAAGGCCCTATGGCTTCTTTCTTGCTAATTCAAAGATCAACATAGATGGCAGTAGGTGGAGGCATCAGAGAGAACAAGGGAGACTGAGATTGGATCGAATAGGCGGGGGTTTTAATTCTTGGGGATTCCATTCCTCCCAAGGCTATTAAAACGCTCATTTCATTAAAAATTATAAAACGACATGCTTAGATGACACACATTTTATAATAAGCGTCCTCCGTGTTTTTTTACGACACTAATTTTAGGGCACGCAAAAATGCGCGTCCTAAATCCTTCAAATTTCTGGAGAGCTGACATTATTTTTAGGTCACGCACTTTTGTGTATCATAAATCAATGCGTATCATAAATTACGTGTCATTAAAGGTCTGTTTTCTAGTAGTGTGGTAAAAAAAATTTAAAATACAATGTTTTGGTACAAAACTCAATAACTAGTTCAAACTAGTTATCTGAGCAAACCATGTATCTTGCTAGTTTATTTGAGTAAACCACATAATCATCATGATTAAACGTAATTTCATAAAGTCATCCGGTCTGAGTGATACGTGAAGAACATAAGCCAGATGATGGTTTGAATTGTTCGATTAAAAAAATTAACAACCTAAATAAAAAACAATTATTAAGCTGTTAGAGACGGTTATAAAAGTCATGATCCTTATAAAATACCACATTAGTTGGATTTTATTAAAATCGAGATTGAGTTGGGCAATTTGCTCATGTAATTTAGTTTTATTTTGAATCCAATCGAGTATTACACACTATGGTTAAATACAAGAAATAATAATATTTCTATTTTTTGTAAGTCCCGAATTCAATATATAAAATTTAATTGATGATTATCATTTAGAGAAATAAATATAAGTGCACTTGCAAATAATTAAGGAAAAATATGCTAAATGGTTTAGTTAAAGTTGAACTTCCAAGAACTTAACATAAATGTAGACCTAATACGGTGATGAATATATTCCTTCTGCAATCGCTCTCTCCCGTAGAGGAATTAATGTCCCTGTTACCTCCTGTTACAGCTGCAATACGGATGAGGATGATATTGATCATATTTTTTTGGGTTGTCCTTTTGCTCGAGATGCCTTGGACATAATTCTTATCTGGTGTAGCATCTCTTCTCCTCAAATTGTCTCGGTTGTTGATCTGGTCAATTTTGCAGCTCATTGGGGTAATTGTCCCAAAAAAAGAAAGATCATATTAGCTATTATTTATGGTCATCTTTAGGATGTTTGGCGGGCCGGTGATGATAAGATCTTTAATAAAGCTTGTGTTTCTGCTTCAAGCTTGGTAGATAATATAATAACCACGGTGTTCAGTTGGGTTAAGCACAGGGGTAAATTTGAAAATTGTAATTGGGCTACTTGGTGTATTTCAGTATTTGTCCTTTCAACATTTTGTAATTTTTTCTGTTTTCTTTTTCCTGTCGTACCTTGTCCTTTTAGGTTGTGGTTTTTATAATAAAATCCCGTCGTTTCAAAAAAAAAAGATTAACAAAAATATATTAAGTTGAATGTAGTCAGCTAAAGCATACATAAAATTCGGAGTTATATATATATATATATATATATATATATATATATATATATATATATATATATATATTATACCTTAATAAGCATTTAGCATGTTTTGCTGAATTTTAAGAGGTACAAATCTTTACTACATATTTACAATCATTTTATGCACTAAGAAATATCTGATCAAACGTTTGACAAAGTCAAGAAAGCTCTTATTGACCGCTTTATTGTTTTGACATGGCTCATTCTCTTATCCCAACGTTTCCCCGTATCTCGGTAGTTTTGTTCATTATGCATATAAATACACACTCATATAGAAGCTCCCCGTCACTTCCTCTTCACATTAATCTGGCATGGGTCTCTCTAGAAACCCTATTCGTCGACCTTTATCTCCTATCTTCCCATTACATGCCACCTCCATCATCTCCACCATTTCACCATCTATCATCGCCCATCGCCCTTTATACACCGTCATCCTCACAATCTCTTCCATCTACTACCATCACCGCTTTCACCCAAAACTTTCACCCTAAATACCTAATGCCACATCCTCATCGCCATCACCACATTTACTCACCCTCACCGACGGGAAAAGCCATGAACCACTGATCTCTCGAAGTCTTCAGGTAAAAAAAAATTTGTTACTATGCTTCAAGATTTAAACCCAAAACTTCCCATTTTTGCTTTTCTCATTCAACTGTTGATGATGTTTGGAGGTTTCCGAATTTCTGTTCTTTAAGGCCACATTTTGAAGAAGAAGTAGATCAGGTTTGGGCTTCTGTTTTACTTTTCCCTCTCCACCGTATAGATAACCTCAGTTTGGGTAATTTGTTTGCTGAAATTGTGTATGATGTTGCAACTTATGATATCAACTCTCACCTACTCTCATAATCTATTTTGATTTCTAAATATCGAATTTATGTTGAATATGAAAGATATTTGTTTCCAGTCCGAAGATTCATGAGTCTTGAGTACGGAACGTGTAGATCCAACCTACCTTCAAGCATAAACCACCACGAAAGGTTGTGTCTTCTAACTTGAAAGATACAATGATTTTAATAATAGTTTGCGTTCAGGTAAAACCAATATTGTTTTGTTTATTTATTTTGTAAACCAATGTCTTAAGCACTTACACCCAAACTCCAGATCCAGTGACCAAATGTGCCTAGGACTCATAAAGTCTCGAACTTTATCACTTTGGACGTCCAAAAAGCTCTTAATCCAAGGTCTTAATCCATTAAGACCCTTCTACTGCATGCATGGGACATCATAAGCCATTGGGACCTCATTTTTATCACTTAAGACCTCTTCACGGTCCATAAAGGACAGCTTATCTCGTCCAAAAATGCATCATGCACCATATTGGGGTTTTGGGACAAGAAATGGTTCCATAATGCTAGAAAGGCTAGATCTATGACCTACAAGCATAAAGTTTGAAGCTTTTTACCTTCTGGAGCTTCTAGGGCACAACACAACTTCAGATCTACAAGCCAATCTCCTTCTTCAACTATTTGTTGCAATGGCTTCACCTTCAAGAGCTCAAAATACCCACCAACTCACTTTCACACACAAGAACTAGGGTTTGGGGACGTTCTGGAAGATGAAGGCTGAGAAGGAGGAGATAAAATGAGCCATAAGGATGTTCATATAGCCCCCCAACCCGAGATATTAGGGTTTCCTTCTGTTATGAGTACGCCCAGCGTACACAAGTGTACGCCCAACGTACTAGGCTCTTTTGGCTTTACCCTTCCATCCCCAAGGACTACAAATGACAAAACTTTGGATGTTATAGTGCAGCTTGCATGTATTAAAATTTACTTGAATGAATGCAAGAAGCATCTCAATATGACAAGACATGTAATGGATTTTCATTATGTTATGTAAAATTTATATTATAAAAAAAGGGAGCTAGCTCTCTTTGACTAAACAAAAAATAATATTCGTATAATATTACAACTTTTTCACAACAATTATTAGTTTTTGTGTCATAATTATCAACTAAACAAAATTAATATTTGTAAAATATCTTTTTTTTTCAAAAAAAATATTTGTAAGAGTTATTAAAATAGAAAACCATGTAAATAAAAGAAATCCTATTAAAATTACAAAGAAACTTGATGACTAGAGTCTATAAATTTATAGAAAACTTAAGAGGCCGCTAAATCAAAATCAATCTTACAAATTTATAGTTACTTTAAAAATTAAGAGGCTAATAAATTAAAATCATTCTTACAACCTTAAAAATTAAGAGGCTAAAAGAGTCCATATTAGCAACGTACTTTAATTTTTATTCCGAAACCGCTTAGCGATAGAAAACTAACCGCTGAAAAGAAACTATTTGTTGTCGCATCTACGTACATAGCCAGAAACTATCTACTGAAAGAAATATCCAACACAAAACAATCCGTCAAAAGGCTGAAACGAACTATCTGACACGAAAAGGAAACTATTCATCGAAAAGAAACTATTCACCAATCATAATCTATTTGATGCCTGTCGAAAGGAAACCAATCGTCGGGAATGATTATCTAACACACAACAACCCGCCAAAAGGCTTAAACGAAAAAGAAACTAATCGTCGCATTAAAACTATCAGCCGTCAGGAACAATCTTGCGTCGTCGCATCGCGCGTGTACGCTACTAGTATATATATATATATATATATATATATATATATATATATATACACACACACACACACACACACACACACATACACACACGCCGATGTGGGATACATATTTAAACGGTTCACGGTCAGACCTAAGCCCAAATCAATTAACGATCCTTTTGTTGACCGAGGGGAACAAGTAGGATATGCACGTCCTATATGTAAAAATATTGGCATCCACATACGGTAAGTTCTATTGTATGATATTAATTACTTGGCCTTTTAGATAAATATAGACTTCGTATTGTTTCTTAATTTTTGACGTTTCTAGTCTCAGTTTGGTTATAAATCATGAGTGAAGGTATTTCAATGAATTAGGGCCTTAATAGCATCCTTCAAGCTTAAACAAATGCTTAAAAAGACCTAGCAACTTATATTTACGACCACATCATTTTATAATACACGCAAAGCAATCCAAATATATTTTTGAAATGTGAATTGTTATTAATATGAATCAATTATATATTATTGGGGGATAACTTCGGGGACAAATGTTTTGGAGAGAAATCCTTGGGTGACACATCGGATTCGAGTGAAATCACAGTTTCAAATGCACCAGCTAATGCTAACACCTTATTTTTCCTTTGTTCCCGAAGCTTACTTACGGTCTCCTCTATTACAATATTATATGTCGCAGAATCCTTCTTCCCATGCATAACAACTTCTTGGTTCTTGACCACCGTTTCTAATGTCGTATCTTCATTTTTTGGTACCTCTACATCATCCTCTTTGATGTCTAGTTCATCTGGTTTTGTTTCCTCATGTTCTGCTTCTTCTGTATCAGTTTCTTCATGTTCTGGTTCTTCTTGTTTGGTTTCTTCGCTTTCTAGTTCGGTTTCTTCTTGTTCTTGATCTTCTTGTTCGACTTCAACATCTTCAAATTCTTCCAATCTGGTTTCTTTGATATCTTCATCTTTAGCTTCTCTATTTTCATCTACTGATCCAACGTCTACATCTTTAGCCACTTGTTCATTTTCTGGTATTTCTTGATGTTCTTGATCTACTATAGGATAATCAAGGTGGTCACTAATAATATCAAAGGTCTCGTCCGCTTGAGTTTGTTGGTTGATATGTTTATCATGATCATAAGTATGTTTATTATCAACACTTTCAGCAAACGATACATTATCATCACAACTTATCTCGGAGCCAAGCATATCTTGATCTCCTACTAAACCTACGGAATCTAAAGGCTCACAAACACAAATCTGGCCACCATATTCAAATTTCACTTCACCATGCAAGATATCATTGCTCCCAAGAGTTACGACACTATTATTGTGCGGTTCCTGATCATGGGTTATGATGTTGTGATTGTTTTGAGATGATGAGAGGGCATCCGATATGATTGGCTTCTTTTCAATAGCCATAATCGTGCTTCCCAAACCCCTTGTCGTTTGATTCTTAATACTACCATTCTTGGCCTTAACATTTATATAATTCTTCGATTTGAGAGGAGAACGAGATATTTCAGAACCCTTAGGTTTCATAGAATCGGATGTTTTCATGGATGATGCTATAATATTTTTGGGGCTAGATTTTGATTTAGTAGACACAACTTTAGAAGGTGGTGTAGACTGGTCTAATGGTCGTCTTAAAGATTTGGTTTTGGGTTGGGACACTTGTTTTTTAGGATTCTGAGCAGAAGGACCACGACTTTCCGAAGGCTTAGGGATAGTAGGAACTTTTCTAGATTCTATAGAGGTTGATGTCTTCTTTCGCTCTAGAATCGAAGGAGGATTTAGAGATCTCTCTCGTTGCCCGGTCTTAGTTTTTAGAGACAACGAAGGAGACCTCCCTTTGGTCTCATGTTGCCCGTCATTAACTGTTCGAGGCAACATTAGAGACCTACCTCTTTTCTCCTTCATGCTGGTATCCCTTCCTTTTGTCGACATTGGTCAAAATCAAACCACCAACTACAAGAGTACCTACATTCAAAATAATAATGTATGTATAAATATAAGTATTAGAAAAAGGTAGGAAAACATTTGTTTGAAAAATGATTATTCTCCTAGTCAAGCTTTTTGGTCCCACTACATATGAAAAAAAAAAAAAAGTTGTAAGATCATTCTCACAAATGCTTATATGGAAAATACAAATAGTATTGTTTCGAAAACCAAGTACCCATTGTAAATGATAAAGAGAATTATAATGAATGTGAAGAGATCTATTACCTTGTTAGAAGAACGTTAGTGGAAGTTGTGATGTCGGAAGAGGGCCCGCAGAGAAGACAAGAAACTAGAGCTCTTTGGTAATTGTTAAATATAGGTCGACTTTAACGAAAATTACGAAGGTTTGTTTCCAATGAGTCGGTAATTTTTTAATCCGAAGAAATTGCCATGGGTTGTGGGACGCCCTACGCCATCCGAGATTTACTTTTAATCATCAAATAATCCTAAATAGAAGGGGATTTAATGACCACTCAAAAACGTTTTTTTATAAGACAATATTTGATGCAATATTATTAAAAAACTAAAGTATATTGTATGAAAATATTATTAAATTTGACAAAATAATAATAATAATAATAATAATAATAACAATAATAATAATAATAAGTATAAAATATCATAAAATAATATTTAGACCTATAATTAAAAACTAACATATATTACATAAAATATTAGTATTAGAATAAATCATAAACTTTATCTTATTAATTTAATAATGACATTGTTTTGGAGAAAGACAAGTAAAAAAAATACAAAACAAACTAGTTATTACCTTGTTATATAATAGCAAATTGCAAATTTGGTTTATGTGGTTTATAGATTTTTTTATACGGTCCTCCTCAGATTTAAAAACATGATTTATCTTTTAAATTTTTTTTATTTCTTTTATATTTCAATAATCTTTTATAGTATTTATTAAACAAAAAAGACGTGTTTAGGGCAGCTTTTAGAAGCTTCTAGCTGACAGCTTTTAAGAAAAAAAGTTTAATTCCACAACATGAGATTTTAGTTTTCAATTAAACAAAAAGATCTAAATTTAAAAGTTATTTCAATTAACACTTAACAAAAAGTCCTTTTAGATTTTAAAAAGTTGACTTAAATAAATTTTAAAATAAATAAGTCATGTTCATATTTTTATTTATTATCATATATGATTAAATATAAATATATTTTAATAATTATGATGTCTTTATTTGAAACAAAATATATCTTATACGCTTAAATATAATTTTATAGTTATGATATTTTTATTTGAAACAATTATATCAATGGATTTTATAATTTAATCTTCATCTAAAAAAATAATAAATACTTATTATATGAATTTATAAACCAAATTAATATTATACAATAATATGATTTCTTTTAGAACCTCAAAACATTTATAATATGTAAAAGATGTTTGACATGGATTCTTATAAAGTTGAAAAGTCTTATTTACTTTATTTGTAAAAAATCACCATTTACTAACATGCAAAAAAATATCAATTGAGAAGATTGACCGGTGTACATATTATTAAATTTTGGATGGTTTTTAACTTTTGAAACTTGTAGTTTAGAAAAAAATAAATTGTCACCAATATATTTTGATTTTAATTTATATCTATATTTATGTAATTTTATATATTTCAAAAGTTTCTAGTTATTTGTACCGAACACTCTTATATAAATAAAAACTTCCAGATTCTAGCTACAAGTTACTGGTTACCAACTACTAGCTACTTTTGTCGAACACACCCTCACACTTACACCCACAAATACCTCATTTTCCCTTTCTTCCATCTTCCTTTTCCTCTTTCTCTATGTATTCTCCGACAACCACCATCAATCTCTACCGCCATTATAATGAACTGAAACCGTAAATCTTAACCTCTAAAGAACACAAACAAATTGTAAAATCCTTCCGAAACAAAGTTATTTATTATTTATTTTTTAAATCTATCAAAATCTCGTTGTAGAACACGTCCTTAGAACTGTATATATGTTATTTAAAATAAGTAAGTGAATGTAATATTAAACTCTCAATATTTTTTATTATTTGAAATTATATTATTTTTTGATTATATAATATGTTATCAAACAAGATGACATTTAATTTAACATATTAAATATATTATCTAACAATAAATAATAATTATTTATATCGACTAAACATTGTGTTACATATATAATATTCATTGTTTAAAAGGTTTTTTTGGACCTTAATGATTAAAATTTGCAAATTAAATACATTTTAAAATTTTTAATTATTATTGTAATAAAAATTATTAATTTTGAAAATTATGAAACTCCTACTATATATAAATCTCAAATAGAGTTTACATCAACATACAAAAACAAAAAGTTACAATAAAAAGGACCTAACTGATTAAAACATATGTAAAAGTAGATCCCAATCACTAGATCTCTTATTCATTCGCCTTTTTTTTTATTTTTTTTTACACTAGGTGTGAGACCCGTGTATTACACGAGTTTATTAAAAATAAAAGTTTAGTATCAATATATAAACATTAAACATTTTTTAAATTTATATTTTTACATAAAAATAAACATAAACAATATAATGAATAAGTAAGTAATTCAACTTATACTAAAAAAAAACTATTGTCATATTTTAAATAATAAAGCTGAAAAAATGAAAATGGAAACATTAAGTATTTTTTTAATCTATCTTTGATATCGTGACTTCAGAGAATTTTAAGTCATTGAATATTAAACCAAAATTGAGATAATCATATTTTAAAATCATATACAAACTCTAAGCTACACACTGGGAAAAGCCGCATGCTAATCCGATTTCAAAAGAATTAGATATGTATGTTTTAAACTTTTCACATAAACTGGTTTCACCCCTAAAATCAGTTCCAGTTCCTAACACCGGTTCCGGTCCCGGTTTACCCGAACCTGATGGACCCGAACCTGATAAGCCCATTCTTTAAACCCGAAACTCAAAACGGTTCTAACGGTTCCGATTCCGGTTTAAATCTATACCCTATTACGTATCTCATCAACTCGTAAATCCAAAAACCTCCACAATAGTGGAACATTTTAATGGAACTTTCTTTTCAAGACGAATAAATTCTAATTTATAAGATACTCTATTAATTTTTTATAACTATTAACTATTTAGTTATGAATTTTAACCAATAATGATTTTTAGAAAATTCTAACCAAAATGTATTGAAAAGGCTAATCGAAAAGAAACTAATGCAATGAAAAGTTTAAAAGTTTTTTTCATTATTTTAACTCATCCGCAATTCACAAAATCATACACCGTATTTGTTACGCATTTTAGATTTTTTTCGCAAAAATTTCATTCAGTTCATCTTTTATTTTTTTCTATACTTGGTTTGGAGAAATAATAAAAAAATCTCTTTCCAGCAGTTTTAGATAAGATAATTATTTTTTTCAAATGAAAACATTCTTAATTTCATTTTAGTAGGTTAAGGTGTTTGGCTTTATGATGAGTTAAAATACATTGAAAATAGATGTCTTTATGACTTTATCCCCTAAAATACAAAAATCCAAACACCTAATTTTGTACAACAATTTTTGTGCACCTAATTTGTTTAAATTTCAAAGAATATTAAATTTGACAAATTCACAAAAGAGACGATCAATAATAGATAATCAGATCAAAACATTAACAAAATTATTTAATTATTTATTTCTCTTCTTCATTCAATTCTTCCTCTCTTTACATCATGACATATGGGTACAAAGATACACTAACCATCATAAACTCATAAACTCTTGGACCTTAAAATATATTAAATGGAGAAACAAATACAAATAAATATTTTACAATTATATGCTAGCTAGAATTTGTTAAATAATGAAATCTCTTAGAATTTATTGTCATTTATTGTCAATTTTAATACAATGGATACATAACATATATAAACTCTTACTTAAAATGTGGATTTTTAATTTAAGAAAATTGAAAACATAAGAAAATGCCAAGTGGAAAAGAAATAATTCAAAAATCCTACAAAATGACGTGTCAAATTCATTGAGAGCATGACATTTGGCAAAATGATTTTCATTTATTAGGTTAGATAATCTGGTTTATATTGACTTGTGTTGATCTTGGTTCATGTTAGTATACCTACAATTGAAAAATACCAAAATAATTAAAACATATGTAAAAGTAGATATTTGTTTCATATGTTAGTAGTTTATGCTTGTATTAGAATAAACTTAGCCACGTTTGATATTTACACAATGGACCCAAATATTGATCAACATGTTCAGTTAAATTGATATTCAAACAATTGTTTTATAAATTTATATGCAATTCCACATTATTGCTTTAAAAACTGATCCAACAGTACAGGGAAAAGAACAATTCATTTTTGTACAATGCTTTTCTTTTGCACTCGTACAAGAACTGTGATTTGTTTATAAGAAAAGCCAAGCATATATAGCTCCTTAAAAGGCTAATGTCTCAACTCTCAATTCTGTTGTTTCTCTTCTATATAGTATTACCCAAATTTTTATCCAAAAATCAAATGCACAATTTATCCAAAAAGGCAGATAGTGTAGGTCAGAAACATCACAAACACAAAACAAAAAATCTGGGCAAGTGAGGAATTAAGCACCAAACCAGATTTAGAGATGGAAGAATTTTCCGAGCATGCGTCTGTACTTGTATGAGTATGAGTGAATTGTGAGAGATGAGCGATGATAGAGGATCCTTTCCATGTGAGAGACGATTCATATTCAAATTTGGGTTTTTGAAGGTTTTGGACTCCTTTTTTTTTTTAAATTTATTTTAAGAAAATAAAATAACTTTGGATTAGTAAATAATACTATATTAAAAAATTTCTTAAAGATATACCCTGTATATACTAAAAACAACAAATATAAACAAAAATATAAAATATTTTAATTTGATTTTTTGGATTATTCAGTTTTAATTTAAATAAACAAAACCAATTAGAAATTAAAAATGCTAATTGGGTTTATGTTCAAACCAATCCAAACATTCAAATTTTCAAACTACAATTTAATCAAAATTGTTTAATTGGATAATTCAATGTCTCTTAAATGCAAAATAAAGCTACCACAATGTAATAATAAAAAATATATAGAAATATGATAACATAATAAAAGGTGTACGAAAACATGTTATTTCTTACATATAGGTGGTGTTTGTTTTTTAAGAGAAATATATTTTCGGTTTGAATAAGATGTTCACCAAAAGTCTTTCCAAATCTTCATTAAAAAATTGATTGTTTTTTTAAAGTTTGCGTGCTGGTGGTGATGGCGGCGGCGGTGGTGGTGGAGGCAACAACATACATGGCGGAAGCAGAGGCAGTGACGGTGATGACGACAACGGCGGTGGTGGTGGCAGTGGCGGCGACGACAGTGGCGATGGTGAAAAAAGAAATATGACATTAGGGTTAGAAAGCAAAAACCGAACCGTAAACCAAAACTTTCCAAAAAAAAAAAATACGAAAAGCCGAGATCGAAAAATTGAAGCATACAAAAATCCGATGGCTTGGTTTCTACTTTTTCAAAATCCGAACTACTTAGTTCACTTTCAATTTTAGGAATTAGAAAATTGAAGAAAAAAAAACGAATCTCGCCGATTTCATATTTGTCTAAAATGCTTATAAATACATTTAATTTACAAATATTGTATATAAATTTACGTCATCCTACGGCAACTAACACCATGACGAATTAGTTAAGGTGATAAACATATGAATTTAAGGTATGGTGTTCAAATTCTTTTAGCTTAGTTTACTTGATTTTAGTTGTTGTAGTTAAAATCTTTCTTCCTCTCTATTTATAAATATATCTATGCATTTGTAAACATCTACACTACATGAGCTTAGTTTACTTGATTTTAGTCATGGTAGTAAAATTCCGTGTGTTTATAAATATACTAGTTTATAACTCGTGGAACCACGGCTATAAAATTAATTAAACTTTCATAATAAAAATTTATAATTATTAGTCAATTATTTTAAATAAATCATTTTAAATAAATTATTAATTAGGAGATATATTATAAATTCAAATTTAACATATAATTAGAAAATTTAAATTTAAATTTTAAAATGAGTTGCCTAATATATCTACATGACACATGACGTAATATTATTGAAGAGTTGTATTAGAGTGACACTTGGCAAATGAAGATTAAAACTATTCATTTATTAGAATATGGATTGATCCATTTGCAAACTTCTACACTACATTACATCTAATCTAACATTGATCGAGGGGATATAAAAACATTTAGTTTATTCATCTATAAAATAACAATTAAGATTTGGAGTTTGATTACATCTAATCTAACATTGATTGAGACCAAAAAAAAATTTTGTAGTATATAATTTTATAGTTGCGGTTTTGGCTTATAAAAATTTATAGTTGCGGTTTGGGTTTAGAAAAACTGAAGCACATTGGTTAAATCCGAAAAACGGCAACCATGCGGTTTTGTGTGGTTTTAGTTTTGAAAACAACATAACCGAAATATGCGGTTTTAAGTTTGGTTTTAGTCAAAACTTGCATAACACCGCATCATTCTCACCTCTAGAGCTTATAAAACATTTTCCAAAATCATAAGCTATTTTTTTTGGAAAAAGAAGTCATTTTTTCTTTTTTCTTTTTTTGTATTTCGTCTTCGGACAAAAAAAACAGTTTTTTTTTTCCGAATATCTTTCCACCCGCAAACATATACATAAAAGTAAAAAAAAAAAGCATCACTTTGATCATTTTAAAGAGCATTCGCGATTGAAAAACAGTTTTACAAAATTTATTTGTGTCGTTATCTCATAGTAAAGTTTTTAACAAAACTTATATGCGAGTCCTACCAAGATATAAAAAGCCATGTAAATAAAAAAAATATATTATAATTATGATTTTGAAAAGCTTATTTGACAAAAAAAACATAAACTTTTATAGTAGATGCTTTAATACATGTGATGAGCTCCCACTAGGCTATTATAAATGTTGTAATACATGTGACTCGCACAAGATTTTTTTTTATGGAATTCATTAATTTTGAAAATTCAGATTTAGTCGGTAAAAACTTATTATTACGGATTCCAATGCTAAAAAATTAAGTGCCAATTGAGTAGACATGCTGATGAAGGAATAGCCCAGACAAAAAATTGCAATCTGCCCTTTTTCATAAAATCATGTTATAGAATCAGTCGTAATTATCTATAAAGTCAAAAAACGACAAAATATGTTATCAACTCAAACAAGCATAATTTTTTATTCGTTTTCATTTAGAATAAGTTAATCACATGTGACAATGTGCATATTGGCTTGGGTTGTTTTTTGTTTCATTGTTTAACTAAATGTGTTAGAAATTTATACTCAACGTATTAAAATAAACATGATGACATGTTTATTATTTTTACAATTCAGTATCTTATAATAAACGGACTGATAATTTTGCAAATTACAACCCGTCGACGTGTCATTTACATTTACAGCGTTTGATTTTTACTGAAATGGGTTGAAGTAAAATGGGGGTAAAAAAGCAGTTATTTGTTGGAGTTTAAAGTGCCTGATAATAAGGGCCAAAATAAAGGGCAGCCTCCAAGTAAGCGCGTGGATCCCAACGCGCCCTGGATATGCGTCAACCTCGGAAGGTGGCGGGGAACAGCCTGGTATGCCTTTGCCTGCCAATTTAAAAAATCCAACCTTTGCTAATCTCTTCCTGTTTATGCAATATTTTATACCTCCCCTATGTTTGGATATTGCGTTTTGATTGATGGAGTACATCCAGGAAAAGCGATAAAGAAAACCCCATTATCAATTAACAATTTCCCATCCATCTACATGCATGTTCTCCACAAAGAATTAAATTGGAACAGAGTGTAGGTGTTTTCAGTGTGTGTGTTTGTGTCTGTGTAAATGATGAATGAACATAATGTGTTTGTATAAATGTCTGTGAGAGATTCTCGAATAAGCAATAAAAAACTTCTCGACAATATAAAAACCTCTCATTCAATTCAGTATTGTGTGTCATCTTATATACTATATATATAAATTGTTTTCAAATGCACATGGCCTTTTGAGCTTCTACTCTTCTCTGCTCTTCCACAATTGTTTTTCTTTCCCTCTCACATGGTTTGTCTCTCCACATTCTCTCTCTCTATGATTAATTGAATTAAGTAAACTTGTTTTTCTTTTGTTTATTCATTGACTGAGCACTTCTAAGATACTTTCCAGATCTACAGTGAAAAAAGGGGGGTTACAGAGGCTGACGAGATGACATGAATCGCAAGGCCAGATGGATTTTCCCCAATCTCAACTTCTTTCGCTTTTCTGATCTAAGTGGCATCCGATAAACAAAACTTATTCGTGGAAATGATTATCGCGTTTCAATCATTCCTTCTCCAGTCGGTAAATTTTATCGGTTTCCGCCATTTTTGCAGAATTTTGACAAGTATCGATGATTCTTCTTCTTTCATTTCGAATTTGCGGATCATGTCAATGGTGAGTATCATGCTTCTCCAATTACATTTTCCCCTTCTGTTGGTAAGCTTCTCTCGATCGTGATTTCATAAATTTCAATCTGCAGAAACAATCTGTTAATTGCGTATAGACTTCATTGACGCTCAAAATCACAATTTCCTCAAAGTAAACAGACATCGATACTTTTTGTACTATTATTATTATTATTGTTGTTGTTGTTCTAAAATGGTGAACGAGATGGAGGATGATCATGTTGAAGATATGGAGGTTGAAGTCCTATCTTCAATGTGGCCTGAAGACATTGATGAAGCTGGAAAAAAGTTCAATGTAGAAAAACCAGGACTCCATGAAGATATGTTAGAGGATCTTGCCTTCATTGAAGAGCCTAGTATAGTTGACTTCAAAAGGCTAGTAGAACTCACAAGTTACAGTGAAAAAGGGTCCTCACAGTTAGCTTACCTTGTAAAAAACTGGGAATATAAACAAGAAAATGCTGTGAGACTTTTGAGGGAAGAGCTTGAAAACTTGAGCAAACAACAACATGAAGTCCAGCTTAAAAAATTAGAAATCTTTGAGCAACATCGTTTTGAGGAAAGTTATGAAGGTGATAAACGTCCGGTTTCTGTGCTGGATGGAGTTTATGAAATATTTCAAGATGTACCCAAGAAAAGAAATGATGTTATTGTTGAAGATAAACGGGTAGAAATAGATGCTGAATATGATACAGTTATATATTGGAAGCAAAAGGCATTGCATTTGGGAAAATTGTTGGAAGAAAGTGTTCAAAGAGAGCATATACTTTTGGAAAAGTTGGAGGAAAGCATTGAAAACCTTGAAAAACAATCATCGCCTGTTGAAGAACTGTCCCAGATCTTGAAAAGAGCTGATAATTTTTTACATTTTGTTCTTCAAAATGCACCCGTTGTTATTGGCCATCAGGTAATTTGATTTCACTCAAGCTCTTTTTATTTTGTTCCTTTTTTGCCCTTTTTACATTATGATTGTAATATAAATATCTCAGGACAACGAGTTGCGATATCGCTTCATTTATAATCATTTTCCAAGTTTACGAGAAGAGGTAATATGATCATTATCAAATTTATTAATTCAAAGTTATTATTTGTTGTAAGTTAATAGATTTTTGAACCATGTCTTTTTTTTTTTTTCCCCTAATACTATGCACAGGATATAATTGGGAAAACAGATGTAGAAATATTCAAAGGTGGCGGTGTAAAGGAATCCCAAGACTTCAAAAGAGAAGTTCTTGAAAAAGGATTACCAGGAAAAAGAGAAATAACATTTGAGACCGAATTATTTGGTGCCAAAACATTTTTAATATATGTTGAACCTGTTTTCAGCAAAGATGGAGAGAAAATTGGTGTAAATTACATGGGCATGGAAATCACTGATCAGGTACTTTCTTTCATTCGTTTATTATAGCATCTTCTTATTACAACATTGTACTTATAAAAATCTACCCAATTCAGTTTTATAATTTGATATATTTTTTTATCACGTGACAGGTAAAAAAGAGAGAAAAGATGGCAAAACTACGGGAAGAAATAGCTGTGCAGAAGGCTAAAGAGACAGAACTTAATAAAACTATTCATATTACAGGTTGGTAAGCTTTCTTTCTCTTAAAACTTATAAATTTTATTTTATTTTTCTATATGAAAATGGTTTATCGAACATTTTGCCTAAATCAACTTCTTTTAGAGGAAACAATGAGAGCAAAACAAATGTTGGCAACCATGTCACATGAGATAAGATCTCCATTATCCGGGGTCGTTAGCATGGCAGAGATTTTATCAACTACAAAACTCGATAAGGATCAAAAACAACTCTTGGGTGTTATGTTATCTTCTGGTGATTTAGTTCTTCAACTTATAAATGACATTCTTGACCTTTCCAAAGTCGAGTCAGGTTATTTTTCATCCCTTTTATAATTGGTATTTTTTTTAAATAGACTGATGTTCAAACCCCATTTTTATACTGTGTAGCATTTAAAAGTTAAGATTATTTTCAGGAGTTATGAAGCTGGAGGCTACAAAATTTAGGCCTAGAGAAGTAATCAAGCATGTTCTTCAAACTGCTGCTGCATCGTTGAAAAAGATGTTGATTTTGGAAGGACACGTAGCAGATGATGTCCCATTGGAGGTTTAGTCTATAATATTGATACAATTTGCTACAAAAAAGAAAACATTTATGTTAACATCTGTTAAACAATTTCAGATTATTGGTGACGTTCTACGGATTCGACAGATTCTCACCAACTTGATCAGGTATTTCTAACACAGGTCAAAATGCAGCATACACACCAAGTTCTAAACACATTAATTTTGTGCAGCAATGCTATCAAGTTCACTCACCATGGGAAGGTTGAGATAAATCTGTACGTAATAGCAGATCCATATCCTGAAGGCCAACAAGAAGCGAAGAATATAAACACAGATGACTCATCGATCTCAACAAAAAACGATCTCCTGTTAAATGGACATGAGGAGAATGAACCTCAATCGCATGAAACAGTAGTCTGGATACGCTGTGATATTAAAGATACAGGAATAGGAATACCAGGTACCTTTCCTTTCAAATTTCTAATTTCTCATTTCGTAGCTTTAGTAATCATGTTAACTAGAATATTTTATTCATCGATTTGATGTCAGAAACTGCATTGCCCAATTTATTCAAAAAATACATGCAAGCTGGAGCAGATACAGCTAGGAAATACGGTGGGACTGGATTAGGTTTAGCGATCTGCAAACAATTGGTAAGAGATTGGATTCGGAATGTGAAAGTGAGAAAATGAAATTGGTTTTGACCTAAAATCTGTGATTTATTGCAGGTTGAGCTGATGGGAGGGCATCTGACTGTATCGAGTAAAGAACATTGTGGATCCACATTTACTTTCATTTTACCACATAAAGTTTCACATCCATGTGATGGTTCAGATGACACTGATGAGTTCGGCGACATGGCCGATAACGACGAGTCTGAAGATGAAGACATCACTTGTGGCTTTTTCCAATTCAAGCCACACACGTTAGGCTCCGTGTTCTCTTCTAAAGACAGAATCAGTGTGCTTCCGGATAATTTGTATTCCATTCCTTCGAGTAAAGTTGCTCTCAAAGAGATTAATTCCATGGATGACGATTCCTCTTGTTTTGATACCTCATCGGAACCTGAAAGTTGTTTGAAATGTAACTCGGAGAATGAAAATACGACCTCCATAGTCGTTGCTTCATGTTCGCCTTCTTCAAAAACAGATTTTATGTGACACATGGGAGGCAAGAAAGGATTCAAATAGAAGCTCAGAGTGTAGTAGTAGTTCTGGTAACCAGGAAGACGTTGGCAATGGCAGGTCAACAAGAAAACCTAAAATTCTTCTTGTGGAAGATCATATGGTGAATGTGATGGTGGCAAGGAGGATGATGAGACAGTTGAATCAAGACATGGATGTTGTGAATAATGGAGCTGAAGCTGTTCGTGCTGTTCAGAGTTGTGCTTATGATCTCATTCTTATGGTATTTTTACTACTATATATATATCTTCATATCAATCAAATTAATTTAAAAAAAAAAAAAAAATCATGATCGCTAAATGAATGTGCAGGATGTATGCATGCCTGTAATGGATGGGCTTGAAGCTACGAGACTGATTCGTTCATATGAAAAAACCGGGAATTGGGATGAAGCAAGGAAGGCTGGAGTGGAACCAGAACCACATGATCATAATCATGATTCTCCTTTTCACAATCAAATATCCAGAAAGAGAATTCCCATCGTTGCAGTAAGTACCAAACTACCAAGAAATGTCTAAAATACCCTTGAGTCTTTACTATATGACTAACGAAAAGTTTTATTAATTGTCGACTGAGTAGATGACAGCAAACGCAATGTCGGAAAGTGGAGAAGAGTGCTTTGAGAATGGTATGGATTCGTTCATTACAAAGCCTGTTACACTTCAGAACTTAAAACAATGTCTTGAACAGTATGTGGAGTGATATAAAATCAGGGTGTAAATAGATCATAAATGTGTATGTGTATAGAAATGTGAATGTGAGTTAGGAAAGTTTTGTAATCAATGTTTGGTCTTTTTTCTCGTCCTCTTAGCTCTTGCTTTATAAGAGTTAGTTGTCTAAACAGTTTTTATTTCTTTAGAGGGGCGTTATTAGGTACGAACGATTGTAGGTTAGCAAAATAAGTACGTAGTAGGGGACGAGCTGAATACCATTCAGCTAAATATTATTATAGTTTTGTTTTGTGAGCAATAATTAATTAGCTGTGAATGGCTTAGACATTTTTATTTTTACATAATCCAAGGTTTTGTAAATTATGTTGTGTTTCTATTCAACATGCATGTTATTGGTTCAGAAAATGTGCTGTGCCATCGAGATCAAGTTTTCATTAACTTTACCTTTTAACCATTAAGTTATTAATAACGTCTACTTTGCTATTTCTTTTCTCTTTATTAAAGTGTATATTTGATATTAAATGATTCATAAATCATTACTTTCTAACAAAGTAATTGATTTATTAATCAATCTCTTAAATGCTTTTTGATGATTATAGTACAATGTACATAGAGAATCTTCTGAATTCAAATTCATCAATAAGTTTTCATCTATTTTTAAAAATGTAATACATCCCTAATATGCAAGCAAGCAACTAACTATAACTACCAAAAAACAAAATGAAGTGGCATAAAAAATAAAAAAATAAAAAAGTTACAATACATGAAATCAGCTAGTACGCCTACAAGGCTACAATACGATTTGTTTTAAATTACAAATGGTCAGACAGTCTGTGAAACACTAAATTAGTCAAGTCAGTTATACATAACTGATAAGTGATAACAATGACATAATAGATAAATACAGGAGCTTAACAACAAAAGAGTCTATATCTACTCTACCTTACAAATAAATCAACACAAATCAACTGACCTGACTACATTCAGATTGAGTCACTTGGCTCTTCCTCTTCCTCTCCCTCTTCCTCTACCTCTACCTCTAGTCATTCGGTTTTCAGCCATTCCATCTGCCTTTTCTTTTGCAACCAAACTTTCGTCTTCACCATTAAAGCTGTCCTGAGAATTATTAACTGGTACTTCCACTGATTCTGTCGATAAAAAACAATTCTTTTCCACCTCATCATTCCCTTCTTCCTTCTCCACTCCATTCCCCTCTTCATTCTCCATTCCATTCCCTTCACTAACACCCCTCATTTCTTTCTTATTGCCTAAACAACAAGATTAAATTAGTATCTATTTTTTTTTTTCAAATAATCTGAAAGCAACCATACCTTCAGCAGTAAGGTCCACAATTTCATTCGACTTGTCATTATCCAAGGAATGTTGTAGATGATGTTTCATGGAAGAACGATGGCTGTTTAGCAAATCTTCACTTGCCTTTGATCTCACTTTGCGTATTTCATCCTCAATGTTCCATGATCCACCAGAAAGATAATCCCTCTGTACAATTTTTTTATTTTTTATTTTTTTAAATTAGATAACTTACAATTTACAAATATGATTAAAGAATTATCTATCTCACCTTTGTTGATGGGAAAGAAATTCCAGCATCAGAAGAATAGGGTGTTCTTTCCTTGAACAAATCTGTTATTGGAGATGGACTTAATGAATTATCACGTCTTAAAGGAGATGCCCATGCTGGACGAGTTCTCATATATGATTTTGCCACTTCAACTGGCGACCCTTCTTCTTCAGTAGCCTGGATATGAACAAAAAATATAAAATATATGCACATATACATTTATATATTTGAAGAATATGCATGTGAGGGATTAAGATTAACCTGTGGTGTCATAATATACTTAAGAGCATAAAGTCCATTGTCCAAATCTGACTTTTTACCAGATCTAACTTTACTCTCTGCAACCCACTTTCTTGCTTCTATGATAGCTTGGGTCTCTGCTTAAAAATAACTATTTGTTCATAATCATATCAAAGAAATTTAGTAGATATGAAAATGTTACTGATGCTTCTGGATTTACCATTGTTACTCTTGCTATGAATCATGCTTGGTCCTGCATAATCTACAACTCGTGAATTGATAATCTCTATTAATTTATCACATTCTTCCCTGTTGGAAATTATGGAATTATCAGTGAGCATAAAGCTTATATGGAGTAATACGAAAATACATTGAGCAAAACATACCTTGAATATCGTTCAATCATAAGTAGCTGCTCAACTAAATGCAAAATTTCACCCTTCTGAGATGAACTGTCCTTCTGCTGATGTAACAAAATATAGTTCAAATATTTGTGATGCAACCTTTTTTAATTATCAAGTTCATAACAAGTGGTTTACTTTACACTCTGAAGTGATATCACTGCATATGGAACAAATTATGAGAATAAAGAAGTGAGCAGATACCTGATTCTGATTCAACTCTGCTGCTCCATCAGAAGGGTTTTCATCATCTCCAGAATCATCTTCTGCAAAAGATAACAATATCAAATTCATGAATTACCCAAGTTTTCAAGTTCATTGAAATAGTGTTACATCAATTTCTTCCATACTAACATTGTGTTTCCTAATTCCTCGTCACCAAATGAACTTTGATAAAACTTTCTCCAACAAATGTGTGATGTGTTCTAAATTCTATAACAATCACTAGCGGAAATAAGGTTGGTTATATGATAGATACGTATACTAAAAGATTAACATGCATTTATAACTAAATCTGATGAATAACATTCCCTCCATACCATAACGACAGTTTTTCAAAATTCAGAAAGATTCAAGGGAAAAATACTGTGAGTTGTGATTCGAGGACATTGGGTTGTTTCGCGCTAAACAAAACTCCTAATTTGGAACAATTATACTATGAAAAACACAATTAATTAAAACACATTAAAAGAAACCCCAAAAATAAGATTATCTACCTGATTCGGAATCACTGTCCGAAGAAGAGGAGGAGGAAGCCGCGGCCCAAGTCTTGGGGTTCCAAAACGAAGATAAAATTTTACTAGCACCACCAGCAACAAACTTAGCCGGAAAAACAAGTCCACCGAGCCAACTAGGGCTTTCTGATTGCAGAAGTGGAGGCTCAGACTGAGGCGGATTTGGGCGGTCGTATGGGGTCTTCCTAGCAGCAATTCTCCTCGCTTTCAAGATTTTTCCGCCGGATCTGCCGGCTGGAACATCTGCGGGTGCCTGAGAACCGGGAGCCATGGTGTTGAGATTCGCGATGGGCGAAGAGAAACGATGTTGGTGTTCAGTGACTCAGTGTGTTTTCCGAATCGACGAAAAAAGAGCGAGTCAAAAGCACTTAAGTAATGAGTATGCAATAACCTTTTATTTTGTTTTGATTTCTCAATAAATATAAGGGTACCTTTCTTCCAAACATTCAATAACTATTTAGCTTATTTAATATATAAATGTTCTTTTTTTCGAAAAATATTTAATATATAAATAAATGTTATCAAAGTGTAAAAGTAAAACAGTACTAAAGATGTCATGTAACCTATAAATTTTGGATAATCATAAAAATAACTACTGATAATATGTAATTGATTCAAATTTTAGACATTTTTTAAAGAAATTTGGATTTCAAACATATATAATATATAAAATACTTTTTTTATTTATATCTTACATATGAAAAAAGAAACTCCCTTAACCGTTGCCTCATTGACCTTTATTGCAACACAAGGACACATTTTCATGCCATTATATCGGAATATATATTCGATTAGATCAAGCTGTTTTTTCTTTAAGTATTTATATGTTAGTTTTGCACTTCGAAACTCCTGATTTTGGTGTTAGAAAATGCTATTTTTTAACATTTCTACTAAAGATAACTTAACGTTGTTATGCTTCTTATATTTTATTGGATTTATAAAATAAGAACGTTGATTTATCCGAATTATAGCATTTCATAAATCCTTTTCAGACAAGTTTTTCGTATTTTGGATTTCAACGTTCAAAGTTGTTAGATATTAGGTCTAAAAATATCAATATAAACTTGGATAATTCAAGAATTGTGATTGCAATTACTTTCCAAAATCTGTGATTTTGACTTTATTGTTTGTGGTATCACGAAATTGAATTTAGATAATCCAAAAATGACAATTTAGAATTTAGGCCACTTCCAAATTTGAAACACAAAAAACACTTTGTTGTTTGACGTTTTGAGAGATAAATAGATTCACAGTATCAAGTTTGGGTATCAAAAGTGTTAACCCTTTCCACTGAACATCTATCTTCCTTTCCACTGAACATCTATCTTCCTTTTATAGAATGAAGATGGTGGTTGTAAGTTGGTTATACTCAAAATGGCGCCAAAATAGTTGATTGCAAAGGCGGTTATAGGGCATAACCAATTCTAACATCATAATCATGTCACAACTGGTCAGCGGAACCACCGCTAGGGGCTCTACCCCTTGGACCCCACAAGAAGCGTTACCCTTTGGAACCCAGTACCCAGGTACGCTACCACCGGACTACCGTATCCCCGAGTTCACATTTATCACTCCGATTGTGCATCCGCCGGTCAGTAAATAGAATTTATTTTATCTCAAAATTAATAATTACACTAAAATATGTTGATAACACTAAGATCACCAACAAAAGTTGTAACACCCGTGTTCCAAGAAGGTTGGATAATACTTAAGAAGTCAAAATAAGGGTTTGGAGGAAATGCTCAACCACGACGTGGGTCATGGTGCCCACGACGTGGCGTGAAATTTGATGAACGCGTGTTTTGGGGAGGTGCCACGACGTTGCATCAGGGGCCACGCCATGGCAGTCGCTGCAGCTTAAATTTGGGATTTTTAGGGTTTTTCTCTTATATAAACACTTTAGCTCCCTCTCTAGGTTATCTCCTTCAGCCTCCACCTCCCCATCTCGAAACCCTAGCCTCCTTTCCATGAGTTTGAGCTTGGTGACTTGATTTTGGGTTTGTTCCCTTGATTTGGTGAAGTTTGTGAAGGAATGAAGTCCATATTGGTGCAAGGGATCAAGGAGAGAACTTGGATTCACTATCTTCTCCAAATTTTTGAGTGTTTGAAGGTATAAAGTTCTAATCTAGACTTATGTTCTTCTTTATGCAAGTTTGGGTCTTTTTTGGTATGATTTTGGTCCTTTCTTTGGATGCTTTGGGGGTTGAAGAACTACAGGACTTGTGATTGAATTTCTAGGTCATTATATTTTTGTTGATTGAGAAAAAGGACCATGCTTGGTGTATTTTGTGTCCATATGGAAATTGCAACCTCATTAAGGACCTAAGGGACATTAAATGCTAGATCTAGCCATGAAATGAAGTCCAAATGGATAAAGCTAGAAACTTTATCCATTAAGTCGGTGTGGGGGAAAAGATTTGAAAGTGTGAGCTTAGATCTGAAAGGATTAAGCTCTTAATGAGAGAAATAACATTTTTCCAATAGCCATGGCTTGACAAAGGTAGCCACGGCGTGGCGAAGTCAAAAATTATGGCTGACCTATTTTGGCATGGCCACGATGTGGCTTTGACTTTAACTTTGACTTTTGACCGTTGATCATTGACTTTGACCAAGTTTGACCTTAGGTCATTTGGGATATTTTGGGTAGTAGTTTGAGCTTAGGTCATTGTTTATTGTATAGGCGAACGGTAGAGTCAATAGTTGGAGCTGTGATCTGTTCAGCTACATTTTGGATTGTGAGGTGAGTTTTCCTTACTTTACTTGTGGGTCGAAGACACCAATGCCAGCCCACTGGATTATGTATCCTGGTATATTGGATTGATGTTATGATGGTTATATGATAGATTGGCACATCTATATGATTACCTATGTTCATTGAGTATGCGTTAGATTGGTATATCTATATGATTACCTATATTGTTGGTTATTGATTGCTATTGTATATGTCGAAATGTTATGGTTTGTTGGGTTGAGGCGGTCGTGCTTTATTCTGAAGGCCAAGATACTTGGGGCGGTCGGATATACTGAAGGCTTGAAACGCGGTCTATTCAGGTCAAAGGCCCAGAGAGTGGTCCAGATATATTGTAGGCCCTCGAAGGCGGTCCAGTCAGGTTGAAGGCTCATATATGCATGTTGTTATCCGTTTGGTGGTGTGGGGTACTTTATGGGAACTCACTAAATTTTGGCTTACATATTGATTGTCATGCTTCCAGGTACTTCATAAGATAGGGGCAAAGCGAAGGCTTGATCGTGCACATCCTTCGGATTTTATGAGATTTGTTCTTGGCAAAACTCTGATTTATGTTTTTGATATTTGGAAACTATGTTTTGTAAACATTTATGGCTTTTAGGTTGGCTTTAAATTTGAAATTTTTACCTTGATTTTTGGGAGGTTACAAGTTGGTATCAGAGCCCTGATTTGAGAGAATTGGATGAACATTTGTGTAAATCCATACTGAAACTAAGGATATGTAAAAGTTTTCAAAAAAATTCAAAATTGTTTTCAAATATGGTTTTCAAGGTTAACCAAAGAAGGATGAGATGTGTACGATCAGTCGAAGCAAGAAAGTTTACCCAAAGATACCCACAATGTATTTTGTTTATGATGATTGTTGTAGAACTGCATGTTAGTAGTAGGCTTGGGATCTTCAGTAATTGTATGATAGAATTGCCTGATGTATGATGTTTGATAGCCTAGGAGAATTTCTTGTATGATAGATGGAATTGACATCATTACTGTAGTTGCTTAGTGTGTGCATCATAGTTATACATAACTAAGATTTTATAGCCTGATAATGTTTGATTTAGATTTATTTCTTGTTCCTCGTCTAGTTGTGGGCTTAGGGTAGAATCAGGTATTCGATTGTCTATAGAATCCAACATTATGTATGATTAGCATGCACGAGTGGGTGTAGGGTTGGTGGAAGTTCCATGAGTGAGTACAGTTTATAGCAAGCCAGCGTGATGAATGATTAGCCACTCTTGAAAGAGTAGATATAAGGTGTTTGTGTATCCTTGATCCTTGGGCCTAGTGGTTCGGAATTTGCGTGTAAGGATCTGCCTGATTTTCATGGTGTCTTAGTGTCAAACGGTTTCACTGCTCAAGTGTTGCTTGCTTTGTGCTTTATGGGACTCATATTTATGTGAGTTAACTATCAAATGAATATATTAAGTTACATGAAACAAGGGTTAAATAATTTTAGAATGATTGATTCGGCCCTATTGCGCAACTCTCATTTGAGTCTAACCGTTGTAGGGTTGGGTCTTTTAGTCGAAAGATTATTTAAGTTTTATTGCATGTAACTGTATTCATGAAGAGTTTAGTTGAAATTAATAGGGGTTTCTCAGCAGCTGATGGCAGGGTGAGGTGGGGATCCTAGGAGAGCCTAGGAAGTGCTTTAGTGCGGTTGTGACGTTGTTTAGCGGGTTTTGGGAGTACCATTATGAGGATGTGACTTGGAAGATCCGGGATGATTCTTGAGGAAAGTATGAATAGGTGTGGAAGGTAGTATTGGGCCCGTACTACTATAAGCACGAGATCCATACTCAAATAGAGGAAAGTCACGAGGATTCTAAGAAGCCAGTAGAGGATTTATATGTAGATTTTTGTAATGTGGGTAAATGTGATGGATTAGTGATGACATTTTGGTTATGTGATGAAACTTTGGTCTGGTTTAATAGGATGTCGGTGCTTGGATGGGGAGAAGAGTCCTCCGAGATTGATGTAGACAACACCTAATTACGCGATTGGATTACCAATGAGGTTTCGCAGATTTTACTGGAAGAGTTGCCTGGTATCATTGGTTACTGTAGGGTTATGAGCATTCTAACACTCCTAAGTGTACATGCAACCCTAAATACCTTGGATCTATGTTTTCTCTATTATACATACAATTATGAACATCCAAGGTATTATCCTAATCTAGCATACAAAATAATAAATATAACAAGATAGAATACATACCTCTTTGATGTAGAATGTCTTCATGAAGCTTGAGTGCCTAGTGCCCCAAGTGTGACACCTCAAATGGTTCACACAACACCAAATACACTTGGAATAACTTGAGAGAAACTTGAACACTCCTTGAAATCGTCTAGCCCTCACACTCACACATAATGTACGATTTCTTGAGCCATGGGATTCTTTTATATGGTGGCTATTAGGGTTACTCCATGTAACTCATAACTTTACCTATTCCTTAAGCTCCATGGATTTTAACCTCCATGGAGTATCCATGGGTCACCCCATGGACTTAGTCCAACATAAGGAATCTTGGATCACAAGCCCACATATATAAGAATGAATGATTTACACAATCAACCCATATATTTAATTAGTCTCATTTTGATCACTTAATTAATTCCAAATTAATTCTTGA